TTCTTACAATTTTAATGACAGTTTAATAATCTTAGTTTTTCTTCCGAGTTTTACGAGAGGACGACTTACTGCACTTGTCCAGTGGGCTGACCTCTGAACTGATTGTCAGGCACTGGAACTCTGAACACAGCCCCATACAGGTTCTGTTGTACGGACTGACTATAACACCGAGGAAGGAAAAACCATCCTGGGCAAAGTACTCCTGTAAGAACAGAAATATCCAGTTATAGCTCCAAAGCTTTGTATACTACCAATAAACTTTATTGAATCCCATATCAAATAATGTTCAAATAAAGCACACACAAAAAAAAATTCTACATCAATTCTCTTATTTGACTGAATTGACTTCTTTCTCCTAGACTATACATCATACAAAATGTATTGTAATGTTTGGAGTTAACCTGACCACATAATCTCACCTGAAATTTGAGCTGAGTCTCGATGTCCCGTATTGAGGGGTTGGGGTTAAAGGTCGGATGGGAGTGGTACCAGCCAATGACATTCATCCTGTTGTTACTGATCTCCTCACAGGCAAACGTCTGAGACACTGCAGGAAAACAAATGTGTTATTAAAAATATTAAAGCATTTTGCTCAAGTGGAAACAATTAATGAACTGAAAACAGCCATATTATAAGCTGCAGTTGACCACAGTAGTTGTTGGATTGCTTCCAGTGACTTACCTGGATCCATTTCACACTGGAGACCAGTACTGATACTGTTACAAGGAATCGCCATGGTAATCTCTAAATGCTGGTCATCGTCGTGGTAACAACCTCCTAACATTCCTATGACCTCTGTCTTTGATATATGAGCATGAATATCCATTATCACCAGAGCTGTATTGTGTATTTCTACGTAGAATGGGGCCTGAAACAGAAGTGGCAATCTTATTTTATATCATTATTTTGTATTATTTAATCAACTCACAGTGAAAATAATGACTTACAGGTCTCTCCTGAGAAAAGTTCTGACAAGGTATAAGTTTGAAAGGGTCCAGACTTTGGACCTTAGGTGACCTTGAAACCTTTCCAGGGCTTTCCTTGGTAGTAACTTTATCTTGATGCTAAAATCCAAAATTAAAGTTCATTGTTTTCAAAATAACAGCTTCTAAGGTTATGGCAATTTAAAGCATGAACATTTTTTTCCTGAAGTACTTGTCTTCTCATTATATGTGTACTTTTTGCTTGCAGTTTCTTTCATTCCTTTACATGTGTATGGCCAATGCATTGGCCATACTCATTTTCCACTTAGTTAATGCATTATTCTGTAGACGTACTTTGTTCTATGGGGTAATAATTCTCAATTTCTGTTTAATCCGCGGGTAGAAAATTACACTGATTTCTTAGACTTGTCACAGAATGTCTTACATTTATATATAAAGCACGCTTAAACAAATTTCCCCAGAAAATTTGTAACTGCGTACATAGCATAAATTATACATGTACCACGCAGAAAAGTACTTCTACAGTAACTCTTTTTCATCATATTGGGGTAATGTAATTACCTGTATAGTTTTGCCCTGTAATTCTTTTTCATCAACCCACTGCCCATATTCATTTCTAATTCTTCTTTTTCTTGGTCGCTGCAACCAAACAACATCGTTATTCTCATCCAGTTTGATTTAACATTTTATCAAATGAACATATACATGTACTTACAATAATGTAAAATTTCCATTCAAGTCCCCAGAAATATTTTTGTCTACCTACCATGGACTCTAGTTTAGAGAAGTTGACTTTGACTATGGCTTCTCGGGTTCTATCTCTGGATACCTGGGTCCTACTTTAGATGCCTGATTGTAACAAGCTTGTTCTAAATAACAACAGAAACATAAAACTAATATACAAGTATATAGTAAATCTTTTGAAATCTTGATGAAAATATTCTGAATTTTTATCTTTAATCAGATTTTCTCAGAAGTGAACACTTGATGCCCCAAAACCAGGTAATTACAGATTTTTAGTTATTCTTACCACATCCAAAATTAATTGCTCCTGTACACTCCAAGAAAGCATGAATTCTTCCAATGCAGTTGACATCACCACAATTCTTCAGTCCTGGTCGCACACAGGTTTTGTTCAGGTATCCAGGCTTACATTTTGCCCTGAAATTTTTCTCTTTTAAAAGAGATTTGTTTTTCTCCAACAGAAGCAAAAACAGTGAATCACAGAAATTATTTTATACTTGTATACAGAAAAAATTTTTTTTTTATAACTTATCATTTCAAATATTTACCAAGTTTCCAAAATGTAATTTCTAATTCTTAGATAACGCTCTGGGGTTTTAGAGGGTCGTCCATCAAAAAAGTCTGCATGAATTTGGTGTTCCTGTTCTGTTATAGTATCTGGGTCTATCTGAGCTTCTTGTTTAGGTATGGGCAAGTCCAGGTACTCTCCATTCCATAAAACAATGAAATTATCTGTCAAAAAAACAAAAAAATCATAAAACTTTACTTAAAAAGAGACTTTAAATGGTTTTAAAGTTATTCTCACTAAAACAGAAGGGTTTAAATTTAAATTTTATATATCCCAGTATATCTTAGGGTCTCTGTTTCTTTAACCTTTTTTAGCAAGAATACTCACTTGATTTTGGCCTATGAGATTCTGGTACTTCATTCTCTGTGTTATGAAAATTTTCCTCCTCTTTCTATCAATAAGGACAGAACAGCATCGCTTTGAGTTGGTTCACCATCTGGGGGTTTTCCCCACTTTCTCTTTGTACTTTCCTTTTTCTGGAGTTTTGTTGGAAATTTGGGCCCCTCGGACCAGTTGTTCATACACTGAGTTGGGGGGGAAACTGATCGAGATTTGAGGATTGGGTTTTCCTCATCCTCATTTTCAATGTCTATCTCTCCATCTTCATCCTCGTCCTCCTTCACAATGTCTGCCACGGCACAGAACCGTAGATTCTCTATCACCCCCGTCATGCGAAGACGAGATTCTAAAATGGACTAAGTAAATGCCCCCGCTGGAGGTAGCTGTGACCAGTAAACTCACCATTGAGGATGGTGTGGCAAGGTTCGCAGTCTCAGCCTCTGGCTGTGAGACAATTGTCTGAGGAGCAGGTTTGACAGTTATCTGTACTTGGCCCTGTGTTTCTGAGTATCTCTCTATCTTCCTTTGTTTAACACCTGATGCTTTACTCCCTGATTTTGATTCTTTCTTCATTGCTTCCCTTTTTTGACCATGTGATTCAGTTTTTGCTCTCTGCATTTTCTGGAAAAGCTGAACCTCTAATTTGTTTTTATTTTTGTTCTTGTTTCCATGATTTATCAACATTTTCCCTAACATGCTGTTTTTGCCTGGAGAAGAATTGTTTGGCTTGGATACCGTGGTAACAGTTGTTTGTGCAGTCGTAACTAGAGAGAGGACATCTTTGATTGGATCATGATTATTCTCGGCTGTGGAGGGCACAGTTGGTTTACTGACATCAGTTTCAATGGTCTTCTTCCTTCTTTTGCCTATAATAAAAATATCATTCTATCCTAATGAAAAAAATTTTTCAACAGATTTAAAGTGAAACCCATCAACAAAAAAAGTAAATTACAAAGATTTTACGTGTAGACTTTGAAAGTTATCAATATTTGACAATTACATGTATATGACAGTTAAACATGACATTACTTTCTGTTTGAAGTACTGCTGAGCGTAGTTTTTAACTTGTAGACCCGTCCTACTCGGCATATGCTCTGCAATTTTAGACCAGCTTCGACCAAATACTTCCTACAATTAATTACCGGTAATTAAAAAACAGGACTGATCAACATATCTAAAACATTCATTCTGTTATATTACATGATGGTGATGTATTTACTTTTGGTCACATACAAATGAAACAAAACCTTTGTCTTAAATCTGAAAATTGTGTATAGTATCCATGGAATATTTTACAAGAAAAACAATAATATGAAATGCATGATTATAAGTTCTTCCTACCAGATATTTCTCAAACATGACTTTTTCCTCCTCTGTCCATGGCTGTTTCTGTATTTGTGACTTCTTGGACAGAAGCCTTTGATTCTTTACTTTACGTGGACTTCCCTTTCCACTGGTATAATAACTTATGCAAGAGTTAAGGAAATCTACTGTCATATACCTTATAATTATATATACTGGTACAAATTTTATATCTATATCATTATCATATACAACGAACCAAATTTCAATGTGCCGACAATACAAGCTGAATTAGTATAGGACTGACACTTTAAAAGAATGAAAAGGATACTGCTCCTCTTAAGCATTTTTTCAATTGTTGCTTTTGATTTTTCATCAAAGGTGTCCATTTCCAGCCCTGAAACATAAAAAAAAATTGCACTTGGAAATGCATCAATTGAAAACTATTTATAAACATGATAAAGACTAAAAGTATAAATTTAAAGCAACAGTGTATAATTCTTAATTATCTCCCTTTTAAAAAAAAATATATGTATGGCTTTTTTTTTTTAAAATTAATTCCCTTTTCCCCAAAGGGTGTTTTAATGTACATTTGGCTGAAAGTGGTAATGGTTTGGGGTATTGACAGATGGATATAGCAACTTACAGGTGATCAGAAAAGGCCATTTAAACCCTCAGTTCAGGTGAGTAAACAATCTTTCAACAAAACAAGCCTACACATTTTGTCTACTTACCTGCTCCAGCATCCATGCAGGATTTGTGTATTCTGGCAGCAAGTTGGCACTTTTTGAAGGAAGCTCATCATAAATATCATTGTCCACACTGCAAAACAGATTTAAACTTCAATTATACATTGTAGTTAAAGAACAATAAAGAAACCAGTTATAGCAATATGAGCTGCATTTTTGAGAATTGTATTTTGCTATTTAAAATGTGCATTTAAATTGATAAGTTTGAAATTGGATGTAATATAAATCATTATGATCAATTAGGCTTAAATAATGGATTAAATTGTTTCTAAAGAAAGACATGTACAATAGATATTATTGAATTATATAATGAATCAATATGTACAGGTCAACAAAAATTTAATTTCAAAATGCTTAAAAAACAGTTTTTCCATTTAAATATTAAAATCTGAAATTTGTAAATATTCCCTTTCCCTGAAATAGTTAATTACAAAAAAAAAAATTTAGACATCAAAATTACATCTCATATTGTTTTATAAAGTTCAAAATTCATTTGAACATGTTGAAATGTAGTTAGAATAATCTAACTATGCCTTGGGACAAGCTCTCACCACAGTTAGAATATGTGCCATATACTTGCATTGTAGCAAATTGGAGCAGATTCTCTCCAGGGCTCGACATTAACGCTTGTCCGCTTGTTGGTACCAATGAAAAATAAATTCGGACAAGTGAATATTGCTGGGCACTTGTCCCGATTGGACAAGTGCATTTTAATGTAGAGGATCTCTAAATAATAAAAAGAACGACTGTTGAAAGCTAAATCGGTAGTCTCAACTCAAGACGGAAGCTGTACATAAAATCCAAACTTCGATCCCAATATGTATCGCTATATTAATATTGAGTTCACATTCGATCGGATCGAAGTTCACTATAATTGCACTGAAAAGTCATGGAAGATACGAACCGAAGTAGTGAATATTGTTTGATGTTGACAGTTTCACTTGTGGACATTTATGTTATTGTCAGGACAGAAAGCCTAAATTAGATTTCGTTTTATCTGTCTGTAACAATAACATCAAGAATCAAGCAAGCGCATGACATGTGTAAATAAATGGACTTAATTTTAATTTTCAAGTTGAAACTATTGAACTTTATTGAAAATTTTCGGACAAGTGAAGTTGAATTTCGGACAAGTAAATGTCTTGGTCACTTGTCCGAATGGACAAGTAGGAAAAAAAGTTAATGTCGAGCCCTGCTCTCCAAAATAATTTTGAAGAATACAAAAGGGATTCAGCTAAAAAATAATTACCAAATTAATCAAAACAAACCTTTTTGAGATTGTATATGCCTTTTATCCCCCAAAATAACCTATCTGAAGATAAAAATTCAACTAATTTTCTCACGAAGATTTTTCTCGCTTCAAATTTACCAGCCATGTTTACATTCGGAACTCTCTGAATTGTTCATAGTGAATGCATTGAGTACGAGTTATTGTAACAGAGACAATTTACTGCCCCTGCTGGGGATCAAACCCGGGACCTCTGGCTTGCCAATCAGGTGCTCTACCGATTAAGCTAAAGGGTTAACCCAATAGCTCAAGCTAGTAGGATGCCATGTATCTTACTCCACCACATTATCCCCCTATAGAGAATGAGATGTGCTCATTTCTTTTGGAGTGCCGACACCTGTGGGCAAAGTTCTAGGGGCAATCACTCTCACCTGCCAGAGAACATCTTGGTCCAAACGTGGGCGCCAAATGTAACAGAGACAATTTATTGCCTCTGCTGGGGATCGAACTAGGATGCCATGTATCTTACTCTACCACATTATTGACCAAGTTTCATTTGCTACAATATGAATACATGGCACGAATTCTATCGTTAAACCGGGTGCGTAGGACAATATCATTTTAACGATAGAACATTCTATCTAACTTGAAATGTATCTCTTGTTGTTAGTTTACATATTTGCCATCATTATTAATCAAGTTGTTGATATTCTTATTTCGTTATTTCGTTTTTCTAAAAACAAAAATGTTGTAGGTTTCTTTGCATGAAATACATAAAAATTAAGTTTTCAATTAATTATCTTGGTCTAAGGCTTTGAAACTTGAATTAATTAAAAATCATAGAACAATACAGACTGGAATTTATTTTATATCAAATAGTAAATGATTTTAGCTAAGCTGCAGAACTGTGGCGTTATTTTTTATATTTTAGTCTCTCACTCATAGTTTATGGTCAAACTCTCAAATATACTAGTAAAACCATAATGCTCATATCATTGGGGGGGGGGGGGGGGCACAGCCACACATTTTACCTTTCAACAACCAAAAATTTCTTGACAACCAAAAACAAAGCAAAAAAATCATCGGATGTTTTTAAAAGTTTACAAAATTAGCACACATATGGTAGTTGTGCTTTCAATAATAGTATTATGTATATCGGCAAAATTATTCGGGGGGGGGGGGGGCAAATGTCATTCTCCCATTTACATATTTCATATAAATAATAATTTTCTCCCTCATCAATGTTCTTATTAAAAAAAAAGTCAACTGAAGAATTCCGCAATTCAACGATAAGACCATATAATATTCTATATACGTATCTATTGTTTTGTTTAATGAGGAAAAATAAGAATGTATATATATTATCCAAAATGTAACCTAAAATTCCTTTTCATTTCGTTTTAATACATATATCTTTTTTTCTTGCATTATCATTTAAGCAAATGACCCATTTCATATGAATATATTCAACGATTATATTGATAGTAAAACATAATAAAGGGGAGTAATCAAAGTTTACCCTGCCTTTTGATTGGTTAATTTGGATCTTGATCCAAACTCGAATTTCGAATCTCGAATTTCGAATTTCGTATTTCATTGATGAAAAGAGAGATGAGCCTTCTGGGCTTTCGTATGAATTAGACAAAATGTAAAACATTATCATTAAGTATCTATTGCCAAATTTACTTTTCTTTTTCTCAGATTAAAAAAAAATCCCTGAGGAGGATATCTCTGCGATAATATTTTATTTCCTGATCTCATTTTAAAAGTTAGAAATATGAATGCAATTCCTAATTTAGCAAAGTATGCATTTCCTATTAAGTGATTTTCGTAACAACGTATTACGTACAACAAATTCCTAACGGGTACGTATCCTGAACAAATATCTATCTCCGCATGTACTTGAAATTATTTTCTTATATTCAATCTAAAATGATTTTAAGATCCAGGTTCAATTAAGGGTGGACGTGAATTCACCCCGGCATTTATTCGACACACGTTGTCAATCATTATTCATCGTTACACCGGTACAGTTAATGTTTTCTACGTAGAGGCCAAATATCTGGGATGTAGGTATCACTTGTTATTTTACTTATAAAACGATTGCCATACTCACTTCTTAAGCGGATATTCACATTCGTTTTCATAAAACACAAAAGCAAATAATGATACACTGTATTTAAAAATCTAACTATTGCAAGTAAATTTGTTTTACCAAATTTTTAATTATCCTGAATAGATTAAGCAGATGTGAGGATGAGAATTTTACTTTATTCAGGTACAAATGGGATAGCAGAGTTACAGGCCATTGATCCAGTGTTTGATGAGTTCCAAAGATTTTAACAGAATTAACTGTCCTTCCAAGAGGGAGCATTCACACCACTAAGTTAATGCACAAATAGATGAAACTATAGAATCATTCCTACAGAAATTGTCTCCATATTGTCTGCTTAAGCCAGCACAGAAAGCATTAGAGTGGTTAATTTACAGGCATGTAGCTTAATTAACATTCAGAATTACAAGTAATGAATCATCTCTTTAAAAGTACATGTATTTTCCATTAATAAATATATACAATAATTATTAAATGAATCACAGTGAAGGGATTTAGAATTGAAGTACATGTAATAATTATAAAAAATAATTTGACTTTTTGTAAAAAAAGATTATTGATGTGTATAATATTGATTCCTTCATGGTGTGTCTCCTGCCATTTCACGAAAGCAAGATATTTATACGAGCTGTACAGCTTCTGAAACTAAAATCCAAAACAGCCACAAAATGGGATTGGCTTCTTCCTATTCAGGTGAAATCTTCTTTTAATGCTGTTTTCCAAATTCTATGTGATTGAATATCAAGTATAGGGTTCAAGCTTATATAGATTTTGGTGTATTGTTGTAAAGTAAAGCTTTTAAATGATGTCATCATGTAGTTCTTTCCTTTCTATTTTAGTCCTCTGGTGTTCACCTGCCGAGACAAACTTTGATCAACCACTGTAATTCAAATATTGGATTCCTCTCCTTTTTGTGTGATAAAATCTACAAAACCATCAAGGTAATTTATATTAAGCACTTTTTTTTTGATAGAAGGGTCATTTTAAAGTTGAAATATTAATTGTTGTCATAATCAAATAATTACATTTAATGAAATGAAAATGATTTAACAGAAAGAGAATTTTTGTGTGGATCTCAGTTTTTTCAAGTTAAATATGTAGATTCCAGCAAATTTTTTTTTCTCATGTTGAAGTGATTCAATAAATTCTGCCTCATATGATTTTACAATAGGCCTGTTAATACGAAATCCCTTAAAAAATTACGCGGACTGTGCCATTATTTACTCTTACAGACGTCATATAGTTATAAAATTTCACAGAAATAAGTATCCAATACATTTTAGACAAAATTTCTGTATTTTAAAAAAAATAAAGTCTACTAAAATTATTGGTATGTTGATATCGCTAATGGAGAGGTACGGAGCCCGACAAAAAATTTGAAGCAATAGCATGCGGAATCCAAAATTTAACTCATTAATATTTTATGATTCGAGATATTTTTCGACAATTTTCTCAAATGCATCTTTAAATTGTTCTATAATTATGTATTTAGATTTCTGACGTGATATTTGAAGTACTAACAGAAATATAGTGATTTTTCTCTGATGCGATTCCCGTGAAAACGACTGGGAAAATGACTTCTCCTGAATTGACGGCGCACCACACTTTTGTTAAATTATGTGTAATGCTCAAGATATCGCCAACATAGATCCAAAATATGCATAATAAAGAATGTAGTAAACTGGTGTATTCGTGACATTCGTCCACAAATAGCAAATTGAAATTTTAGACCGTTAGACCTCTGTAAAAAGGCTATACGGGAGGACGGGAAGAATATTATCTTCGAAAACTTTATCCGGACTGTAACGAACGTGATTGAGAGTCACCAGTATCACACTATATCATGAAAACCTGCAGTTTTTGGTTACACTTAAAACAAAAAAAAAAAGCTAATTCAGATTCGTGTCCCCCGCTTATTTCTAAAAAGTCGGATCCCCCCCTGACTGAATTATAGAATTATTAAATGTGGACGATACTGATGCATAAAATACATTTATGAATATGCGTATAAAGATTAGATTGCATTCATTTGTTTCAATATTTCACACTTTTTTTTATAACCTCATAAATTTTTCTGAGCTGTCAATCTTGAAAATTGAAAAAGAAACAATGACTTGTGCAGCACTGATTTTTCAGACATCCAGACCACGATTAAAAGTCTTGCAGCAAGGTAAGTTTTATATACATGCTGATATTGCAATTTTATGTGTTTGATGATTTTTTATTAAACAGTTCTTTGCAAAGGCTTTGAAAGATTTATAATAACATTAAGTCCGTGAGAACCTTTTTATGCGAAATAACTCTCCGCATGCTTTGAAAAATAGCACATGTAATACTATAAATACTAATAAACAAACGGGGCGGGGCACTTTGAATGAGAGAGGTGGATTCTTTGTACATTGTTTAAGCTCAAAATCTTCTTGAAGCACATCTGTGTTACACACACACAGGGTTGATTTAGACCTTGAGACCTTTTTTTTAAAAATCAATAGACGTCTTCCCTAGGCCACAGGGAGTTGTTATGAAAATTTCATTGCACTCCTGGCCTTTTTGGAGAGACCTTGACCTTTGACCTTTTGTCAAAATCAATGGCTTCAGTTAGTCCATAGGGAGTTGCTGTGCTAAATTTCATTGCAAAAGCTCAAAGGGTTCTCTAGTGTGGAAACGAAAGCGTTACAGACAGACAGAAAGAGGACAGACGGACGCACCCCTCACAAATGCAGGTATCCTGACAAATTTATGACTTTTTCAAAAAAATTTATGTGGCCAAAACATGATACATGGGGTACGGGAGTAAATTCAAAACTTTTTGACGGACGTCAACTCACAATATTGTCCGTATTTTTTTAGTGATCCTTTAGAATGATTTTTTAAGTCACATAACACTTTTCTGCTAAAAAAAAAATCAAATTTGTATGTGATCACATAAAACAAAAGATCACAAAATCTTAAATGGGCACAGAAACTGCACTTAACCATTAACGTGAGAGCGGGCGGACAAACCCAAATTAATATCCCCCACTTTTCAAGCGGGGGACAAAAAAAGAAAATTTTTTACTTTTTAATAGATTTTAAGCTTGACAAGAAATGGTGTTTTGATGTTTAAAAATAAGGTTCAAACTAGAAGGTACTCAAGGGAAAATGTTGAGCACCAAGGGTAAAGAAAAAGTATTTTTTATAATGCTTGTGACGTCGAAGATTTTGCTGCGCCGTGACTTAATCCAAAAGTATTCCATGACCAATCACTGGAAATTTTTACAACATTTTTTTTGAAGGCCATAAATGATTTTTTATATTAGTGAATTTTGCCCGATATATATATACGGCTTTAATACAGGGAACATTAAAGAGAGATGAAGAAGACAAGTTTAGAGTTATCTTCTCCTTCTACATGTCCATGGTGGTGGGGGTGCTGGAGTTTGGTGGTGCCACAGAGAATCTGGTGTCCTCCCTGCTCCCCCACCTTAGCCGGGGTCTGAAGTCAAAGGTCGCGCAGTACAGAGCTGCTACCTACATGATACTGGCTCAGCTAGTCTTCAAAAGCAGTCTACAACAGGACTTGTTAAAATCCCTGCTCTCCGCTCTCTTCAAGGTTAGACCAGACTTGGTAGATTTATTGTAATTGAATTTACTGTGATGTTTTATGAATTGTTTGTGGACGAAGAATAAAAATTTGATTTAGTTGCACATTTGTTTCAATATTTCAATTTTTTTTTCTAAAGAGGTCAATCTTGAAACTTGAACGAGAAACAATGACTTGTGCAGCACTGATTTTTCAACATCAGAAGATTAAAAGTCTCCCAGCAAGGTAGTTTTATTTACACTGAGCAATATGTGGATGATCTTTTTTACAAGTTTTCATACATTAAGGTGCTTTGTTTGACTTTGAATGCAACATTTTAATTATTTAATGATGGATTCTTTGTACACTGTTTTCAGATCTTTCAAGCACATCTGTCGACAGCCAGGGTTGATAGAGAGCCTGAAAACTCTGACGTCTGAGGGTTGTTGTGATGGACTGACCCTGGCCTTTTTGGAGAGACTTGTCGTTATGGCTGTCCAGCAGGACTCTGACATGAGTGCCAGTGAGAGCAGTGACTCAGAGGCGATCTGGAGCACCCCCCAATATCTGAGTATCCTCAATGACTTCCTGTCTAGTGTGCCACTCAGTGAGAGTGTTGCCGACCAACTCACAAAGTAAGTATCTGACCTGAGCTTAAATTTTGATAACTGGATGATACAATTAAGAAGATGCTTTCTATTAATTCAAGTATATGTCATTGTTTATTTTGATATTTATATTAAAAACCTTCAAATATCAGAGCAGCAGTAACAAGAGGCCCATGGGCCACATCGCTCACCTGAGCACCAAGGGTAGAAAAACTTTTTTTTGTAGGGAAATGGCTTTTTCTCTGTAAAGTTTAAATCCAAAAGTAGTATCGGACTTGCAACTTCTTGGAAGACAGGTATTTTTAAAGAATGTAATTACAGTTGAACTATATACCTTTAAAAACTTACCTGGATTGTCAATCCCCAACCATTTATTCTTTAGGCTTTTGCCCTAAACCTTTATAATCAAATTTTTTTCTTTCATAACAAGCTTTGACTTTAATGCATGCTTCCTATTTTAAATATTATTTGTTTTTTTTTATTGAATTTTCGTCTATATATTTTATGTAAAACTTTGATTGGCCATTTTGGCCCCGCCCTACCCCCGTAAATCATGATTTGAACAAAATTGAATTCTACACTACCTTAAATGATTCCATCTCTGACGAAATATGGCTTCAATTCTTGATATTTTAAAAGAATGATATATTTCTATGGACTTTTCATTTTAGTGCCATTATAAAGCTATTTTCCTATGATATTTAAAACAAAATTGAATCAACATACCATCATTCCGCTTCCAAACTAAAATCGGTACTCGGTCTTGAGAAGTAGATTTTTAAATAATTTTATATATATTTGCTTATTTATTAATGGATTAAATACATCGATCTGTCATTGCAATTTGATACGAATACATAAAATCGGACAATGTGCTCGGTTACTCGGATGTATATTTTTAAATATTTATAAGCTTATTTATTAATGCATTAAAACATCGATTTTGAAACGTAAAATGTTCATTGCAATTGTTTTTTATACAGTAATTATGGTTAATTTGCCATCTAAATACCGTTATGCCTGTTCATTGTGTTTATATTATAATTAAATGACCAAGCACCTGAATAACTATTTTTCTAACAATTCCTGTCTTTTACCCTTATGTTAAGTTTGCTCTAATTATTTGTTTTCATTGAACATCGTTTAAGGTCTACGTACGTTGTAAATAAATTAGATAATTTTGTCCTCCAAAGCCGTTAATTCTTGAAATGAAAGAGACAGTTACGAACTTGCACGTGCGATTTGTTTTTCAGATATGGATGCTTTATTTCACGTGCCAATTAATGCAAATGGTTGCATGAATGCAAAGGCTTTGAAAATCTTATGTCCATCATTGCACCAAACTACAACATACCGTCTTGTAATTTTCTGAAATCTAGGATCGAAAAGTGTACGAAGATCGTAAATCCGCTCTGTCATCAAGTTGATACTATACATGTAGCTCTGACAACTTATCACGGACGTCAAACGTATCAAAGAGTTACATTACAATTAGGGAACAGATTATATATTTTTAAACAAAACCACTGTAAACCATTTATGATTTTATTTATTAGATAAATAAATTGAACTAAATAAAAATGTTAGATTAAACTCCGTCGGGCACAAAGTGGTCATAATTGTTACAACACATTTACAGGTAAACCTCCCATCAGACCATGTGGTTTTATTTCTACAAGAGTTTACAATTTTTTTTACAGTTATCAATTAACTTCATATTTATTTCGACTTTTACCGAGTACCCGGGTACTCGATCGGAAAAACGTCTGAGTAACCGAATATTAAAAATTGACCGATTTGACATCCCTAATTTAACGTCCCTTTAAATTGGAGAATTAACTCTGGAGAAGCCAAACTTTGGTCGGCCATTTTGTTTGAGCATTGAAATTTTTTTTTCGGGCCAGCCCTACTTGCCCCGGGGGTCATGATCGAATCTACAATACCTGAAATTTTCCCCAGACAGCTTTCCTGGCACAGTGGTTCTTGAGAAGAAGATTTTTTAAATATGCCACCAAATTTTCATAAATTTCCAATTATCTCCCCTTGAATGAGGGCGTGGCCCTTCATTTGAATAAATCTGAATCCCCTTCACCCAAGGATACTTTGTGGCAAGTTTGGTTAAAATTTTGTATCAGTGGTATTCATCATAAGTTTTCTTCAAAAATGTAAAAAGTTTATAGAAACATTGACGGACAGACAGATTTAAAAAAAATACAGACGGGGGACAAAATGTGATCAGAAAAGCTCACTTGAGCTTTCAGCTCAGGTGAGCTAAAAATGTAAGGAATTTAACACCTGTGATGCAGAGAAAGTAAATGGTCATTAAAATTTTGTTCCTCAACTATTCTCATTTTTTTTTGTAGGGAAGTCATGGAGAATTATCTTCTCTGTGCCAATAACATTATTGATGATGAAGGTTTGGAGGAGCTGAGTAGCAAACACAAAAAGACTGTGCAACTTCTGGAAAACACTGACAGGAAATAGTTATTTTTGTGTGAGAAGTAATTACAGTTAAACTTTATTATCTAAAACACTGATACTGTGAAATCACTCATTTTTGTGTGGGGTTTAATTTTGGGTTTATTTTTAACAGGTACCCTGTCTCACTAGACAGGGCTGTGCAGAGTTTACTAGAAGACGAGGAGGATGAGAGAGTGAAGAAGATGATCCAGGATTTCCTGAATCTCTCCGTCCTCTCTCTGAGACACCAGCACCTGTCTGACATGGACGGCACGCTCTCTCTGTCCATTAACCATAGAACGCCGTCCATCCGAGTCGGCGCGGTACAATATCTACTGAAAAACACAGATAAAGTAAGGCAGATTACTCTGCATAGTATAGAAATAAAACGGAATACTAGATATACAAAAGTATTTAATCAGTAGAACATTTAATACCATAGCATTCATCTGAAGGTTCTTAACAATGTGAATTTCTTTATGTACATGCACCAGGTTAGTATTTAATCTTTAAATTTATGTTTGTGGTCTCATTAGAATGTTTAAGGAATTTATAGACAGTGTATTTGAAAATGTGTTTGTACTAAATCTGGCAAAGAAAAGAGCCACATAGAGTAAAGGATTTTTTAAGGTTTTTTTTTTGTCCCTTTTAGTGTGACAGTGACTATATATCAGAGACGTTATCAGCCAGACTTGCTGACGACTCACTGGAAGTTGTGGAAGCAGTTCTTGAAGCAGGGCAGGTCAGTTAAAGCCAATATTACTACATATGTGTTCATTTTCTTTAAAATTTAAATATATGTACTAGTTGTGAATTCACAGTGAACATGCATGTATTTCCTTGGTAAAATTGTCTTCCACTGAAACTTATTGACTAGAAAAATGTAATACAATTAAACGCCCACCCTTTCTTCTTCCTCCTCCCCTTTAACTTAAGTTTCATGGAAAGCTCTTTGTTGACAGTAATTATCATGGTATTAACTGATAAATTTTCTGCTTTCAGTCCCTGTGGAGCATGTTGAGTGATAATACTCGACTTTGTCATTTGCTGGGTAACATTGTCCTGAGATGTCAGCCCTGGTCAGACATCGGGACAAAGGCCCTCCAGGTTCTCTGTAGCTGTGATCCAACTCTTCAGTCCTCTGTCATTCTTCAGCTGTTTCCACGACTACTGCTCTGCACTTCTGATGATATGGACTTTTTGAAAGATCTTTGTGACACAGTTCTTGCCAAAAGTAACCTCATGGTCAAGTCAGTAGCTCAAAAGTTGAAGAAGAAGGCAGTGGGCAAGAAGAAACAGTCAGCGGGGGATGTGGCAGAGCTTTCTGTAGAGGTGACGGAGTGGTTAGCTGCTGCGGTGATTAAGATGCCAGACTGCGATGATTTTCTCTCTGAGTTAGAGGAGAGGGGTGACAGCGCTCGCTACAGATGTCATCTGGCTCTGTTCCTCAACGCTATCATCCCTCTGATGTCTGAACAGAAAAACCAGCTCCAGTGGTGTGGTAAACAGCTCAAACTTCTTCACCAGCTACGACCTCAAGGTCAGCCAAGAGTAGACTGGGAGGAGGTCATCACCATGGTAACAGACACTTGTCAATCTCTAGTGGCCAGTCAAATACAGGGAAACTCCATAAGCCTTTATCTGCTTTCCAACTTAATAAAACTGGTCCCTTCAGTCAAAATTGGTAAGTGTTTAAGACTAGACAAAATTATTCACCATATTTTGTTTATCAACTGATAAATTATATATTTACTACATTTATATTTTTGGTTTTATTGTTGAACATGTAGGTTATTAAAATAAATTTTCTTATAGATGCTGAGTTTTGGGACTTTGATGATGAATCTCTGATCTTGTCTGTGAGGCTGTTTGATTACCTCCTTCTTCTCTCCAATAGCTCCCCTTGTAGACAAGCCTACAGAAAGCTGGTCATCCAGTTCTTACAGGTAACTCCCCCTGTAGACAAGCTTACAGAAAGCTGGTCATCCAGTTCCTACAGGTACCCTAGCATCAACAGCAGCACTAGTTCTTTTTTTTTCAAACAATATTCTAATCATTTAATAAATACAGTGGCTAAAGTAAAACACTAAAAAAGAGAGACCCAATGTAATTAGCTGTGTATATTTATACCTAGTGTCTGATTTTCAGCATTTCCCTGACAGTAATGACAAACTGAAATTCCTTGGACTTTTGTGGACACAGCATTGTAATGACCTCAGTGAAAGGTCAGGGGTTAAGACCAGTCTACAGATTCAAGCTCTGCTGATTGGAAAACAGCTTCTGCAACAAAGTGAAACTATGAAGATTACAGATACTGGTGTGTATTGAAAGGATATACATGTATATTTGGAATTTAAAAAAAACACTCTTACACATTTTTTATTCATTTAAAAATAAATTTACTTGTTATATTTTAGTGATTATAAATCTGGTGTTGGCCTTGACCAGTCCATTTGTTGGAATTCGCCAGACATCAATAGAGTGTTTAAAGTTTCTCACTGGTAAAGGTAACCTTGGTCGCGGAGCTTTGGCAACGCTAGTGAACCACATCCTGCAGTGTGAGGTGGAGATAGACGCCGACCAGGGCTATCTAATGCAGGTGAGCTATCCAGGCCCTACAGGCATAAGATATTTCTCTAAGACAACGCACCTAATCATCCCCAGCCATACAAGAACTGCTTAGATATAAGATATTAATGTAATTACATGTATGTAACAAATTTGACACTACCCTCAGAATTAAAAGTTCTGAACACATGTATGGTATAGAAAAAAGATTTTCTTTGTAAGAATTTGTCTGAGTTTTATGAATTTCTTTGTCTCCAGGCCGTGGGTTCTGTCCTGGACAGTGAACCAAGGAAGGGTAAGAGGAGATCTCAGTCTGGTAGGAAGGCGGACAGCAGCCTGGGGGGAGTGATTGTGGACGTCGTACAGAACTCGGACACGCCTCACTACGTCAGGAACAGTCTACTGCAGATCACAGCGCTACACAACAACAAAGTCAGTGTTCTCTTAGATCTTCTGTATAATGTCGGGTTATTTATATTGTACAATTTCTGTGATGGCGCTTTGGAGATGCTCCTCATACTTGTATCTACATTCCTTCAGATATACTGTAAATCACGTTTTATTAGCGAGAACTTTATTTTCGCGTAATTACGCGAGACGATATGCTCGCGAAAATTTCATTCTCGCGTACAATAGAATTCCTTAAGATTACATAGAGCAATGACCACAATTCGTGAAATTTTTGTCTCGCTTATAAAGAGTCAATGACTATCTCGCGAAAATAAGGTGTCTCGAAAATTAAGTGACCTACAGTAAATGCAACTTGATACTTTTGAATGACTTCTCCCCTACTCCTGTATGTATTGTAGAGTTTCCTGTGTGACCTTTTACCAACCTTGAGGTCCCTGTTGTCTACCTGTCACGGTGACAGTCCCCCGGTCCTGGCTGTAGAGTCCTGTGGGTGCCTGATTCAGCGGTTCACCCCTGACACCTGTTCCACGCTGGACTCCCACCCTGAGGCTCTGAACTTAGTCCTGGAGATGTTAGCTAGCCCAGTCAAAGGGATACAAGAAAATATGATCTCACAGGTCATACAAATGATATTACTGCTTTGTAGGCTTTAATTAATCAATCAATTAATTAATCAATTTATAACTGAATTTCTAGTATATCAGCAGAAACATGTATGTCCAAAAATTTCTGTTTGTGAAAGGTGTAATTTCTGTAATCTGTTGAGAAAACAGTCAGAACAATTCTATCATGAATTACTCCAAATTAAACTAAAAAATGATTTTATTTATCTAGGTGACTGGAGACTTTTATAACAAGCTCACCCCGGACACCCAGCAGCAGATCCTGTCGTGTTTGTTTGATGTCTGGGTGAAGGCCCCAGACCCGGGTACAGTCAAAGTGATCAGGAAGACACTCAAACATGTAAGTAATGCTGAATTACTGTAAATGTATTACATTTAGCAGTGTATTCTTTTTAGCGATTTTGGCGGAAAGCAGAGTCCGCTAATTCAAGTACATCACTATATGTCTTGTATATTAACCTTTATAACTAGCAAATTCAGACAGCACTAAGTCAAATCTATGCTAACTTGTTCAAAATTGAATTTCTGCCAAATATCGTACATGCCAAATGTAATACATTTACAGTATACAGCATATCGAAGACAAATGTAAGTAATGCTGAATTATACAGCATATTGAAGAAAATGTAAGTAATGCTGAATTATACAGCATGTTGAAGACACTCAAACATGTAAGTGATGCTGAATTATACAGCATACAGTAATTCTGGCTAACAGTAATTTGAATGATGTCCTTTATCTAATACAACAAAGTTAAATGATTAATCCTCTGTTGACAGTTGACGCTGGAGAGCAGCCATATTGTAGAGGAACTGAACAAATGTCTTCAAACGTCACCCTCAGCTTCCACCGTCAAGGAACGGAAAAAACACAGGTAGGATGCACTCAATTCCTCAAGGAAATTATTGATTAAAAAGTTCTGAAAATCTTCTGTTTTCAAAGCGGTAAAATAAAATGTCCAATTATTTTTTTATTTTAGGAAGTCTGATGTTCATAAAGAAGAGGAAGATGTTTTTGAACAATTGCCATGGCAACGAGTGGTGGTTGTCTTGGAGACAATTCAAAACAAGAAGAAAATTAGCAACTATCTCCAACTGCTGCCAACTCTATTTAAAATACTTTCTGAGTAAGTGTATTGTTCATAGGAGAAATAAAGGAATTTTACAAATAAATCATAATTGTTAACATATATGATGTACATTGGTTGATGGATACACTTTATTATATGGATTTATCGGATTTTTGCAGGGTGTTGAATTCAGACCAGCATTCCTCAGCTGAATACATTAAACAGCTCCTGTTGTCTGTGGTGGATGAAGTGTGTCAGAAAGCCATCAACCATGATCTGATACCAGGTGACCCTTCTGTACAGGTTCTTTATACTCAGTTGTTTGTTCTGCTAGTGATTCTCAGACTTGTTGATAAACCTTTTGTCTTGTACAGATTTGAAGAAGGAGACGTCCTTTAACATTGACCTGATTGTGAATGCCATTAGGACATCAAGTAATCCCCAGACCCACCATAAAGCTCTGCTTCTTCTGACAACTGCCTCCAAAATATTCCCAGTAGGTTTAATCCAGTTAAAATTCATATCAGCTCAATAAAATTGCTATATTGATATAAAGTAAATGTTTTGGTATTTTCGAAAATTCAGCTTATTTTTATTTATTTTCAGGAGGATCTTCTGCACAAGGTGATGTCAGTGTTCACCTTCATGGGAGCTAACATCATGCGTCATGACGACCAGTACAGTTTCCACGTCATTAACCGTATCCTGGAGACAGTGGTGCCAGCCTTAGTTACGGTAACATTAACTTTAGTGATACATGTATTATTTTCATTCTTCATGCTTGGATTCATTGTTTTTTCAATTGACTTAATTTTCCTCTGGGATTATCAAAACCTTTGAAAGTACAGAGTTCTATTTTCTGAACTTTTTGATATTTTAATTTTCCCAGTATCAATGTACATGTATTAAAATTATTTCTCTAACCAGGCCTGTGAGAAGCGGGAGGCCCATGCTGGAGGTCATAATAAGGAGGAGGTCATCACCATGGTGATGCAGGTGTTTGTGGACGCCTACTGTCACATTCCTGAGCATCGCCGTCTGATGCTGTTTACCAGACTGGTGGAGATCGTGGGAGGAGACAACTTCCTGTGGAGGTGTGTCCTTCTGAAAATGACTCAGGAAATAACACGACCAACAACAGTAGAAAAATTAGAGGTAAGTCCACAGTTCTGATGGAAAATGTGTAGTATTGTTATGCAAGTAATATAAAGCTGAATATTTTCAAAATTGACAAACTTTGTTTTGTTTTTAAACTTTAATTTAAAGATTTCAAAAACTTAAATGCAAAAAAAAATCTTTTAAAAAAATTGACCAAATCAATCTGAAAACCTGACTAGTTAGATAACTTCACAGTTTATATTCAGATTTTAAGTTGTGCTCTTTGACTCATATTTCACCAAAAGTGCATTGCACTGTATATCTCCCCCTCCCTCACATAAACAAAGAAAAAAGTGATTAATAGTTCTGTACAACCAATGAGACCACCACATTCCTTCTGTGAAGGATCATGGGTAATATCTGTTCCCTGCTGACCAGTGCTCTTTTTCCTTGTGTTTTAGTTGTCAGCCTGTGAGGAGGGGGAGATAACCTCGGGCTTCCATCACTTGATCCAGACCATCCTGACCTACATCTGTAGTCTGATGGAGCTGAAGTTAGAAGACCAGACCCTGGCCAAGTTCTACCGAGCCCTGACCCACAAGATGTACGACCTTCTAGACAAGGTCAGGCTTCCACCTTCTTCAATTTATTTCATTTGAGTTGGTTTGTCATCTGTCATAATGTTTTAAAGCTGTATTTCAATCAATATTTTTAACCTCCTATCTGACAAAAAAATTGAGGTAACTGTGTAATCAACTTCTTATTTTTTGAGTCGGATTGTCTGGATAGTGACTGGGTATTTCTTTATCATCTTTGTTCTACAGGTGGTTGGTTTACTACCGGAGAAAATGTTACTGAGGGTAATAAAGGAACTGATGGATCACTCTATCCCCAACATCCAGAGGAAATCCATGGAGCTCCTCAACAACTACCTACTGCAGAAGGAACACTCTGAGGTAATGGATAAATCCATATGACACATATGGCAGTCTGGTCTTTAAATTTACTATCATTGAAACCACTTGTATGTAACTTGTTTGGGTTTTTCAAACCTCATAAAAAATTGGTTATGACTGCAATTTTTAGATAACAGAAATAAATTCATTAATAAACTGATTTATTGTAGGAGATGAGTTTACTTGGAGTTGTGGACAAACTTTTAAAAGTGTGTGTGGCAGAAAAAACAGAGATGACCACTAAACAGACAGCTCTATACAGCCTCAAGTTACTGTGTAGAAGGATTGGAGCTGACCATCCTCAGATGTTTATAAAGGTAAATCTATATACAGCCTCAAGTTACTGTGTAGAAGGATTGTAATAGATATAAATAAAAGAAATTTTGTCATTTATAAAGTGATTTATTATATAACAGATGAGTTTACTTGGAGTTGTGGACAAACTTTTAAAAGTGTGTGTGGCAGAAAAACTTATCAGAGATGACCTACATATACAGACAGCTCTATACAAATCAGCTGAGTTAAATGTGTAAAATATTGCAATACATATACAGCCTCAATACAGTGTAAAAATATCGCTGACCATCCTCAGATGTTTATAAAGGTAAATCTATTAATTATGTTACTTCATTACATAAAATAGAGATTCGGCATTAAGATAACCTTTAAAGGTGAATTTTGGTAAAAAAAAATATCTGTTTGATGTTAACCTGTCCCCGCATCCCCTGACTGACATACCTGGGTAATCTGTTACAGGTGCTGAATATGGCTGTGGAGATTTTCTGTTGTGAGGGGGTGAACCAGTCTCTCCAGGCCAGTGCTCTGTTGTGTATCTCTGAGGTCTGTAGTACACTGAAGGCCCACGTCATTGCTCATCTGTCAACGTTCATGCCAAAAGTCATCTCCTGTCTCAAAGACAGACATCTCCTGGACGGGTAAGATCTAGCATGTGTGAGTTCCATTTCATATGGAATATGACAAATTTCTTAACTACCTTTCACTTGACTGTAACTAGCAGTCCTTTAACCATTGAATTTTTTTTCTGTTTGGTCAGGAATGAGCTTTTCCTGCTTAGTGTCATAACAGCTGTTTTGCGAGTGATGGAGAACTTGTGTTTGTTTCTCAGTCCTTATCTACAAGATATTGTTACACAGGTAATCATTTCATCGCCTGTCATTTATAATCAACTATATGAAAGTAATGACAAGATATCATTGCCTTGTCATTGTTAATTTCAAAAGTGCACCATGATATACATGTAAATCAGTAGAGAATGTTAAAGGAAGCCTTTTGCTTTGTTAGATCTGTTCTCTCTCTGGACAGCAGACAGAAGTCTTACAGAAAGCTACCATACAACAGAGACTCAAAGCCATTAGGTATGTAAAACAAGTAGAGTAAAACCTTGTTATCCCAAACTCAGTGGGACCAAGAAAAAACAAATATCAGAGCCTGATGGTTTTAGAAAAATCTCCAAATATTACTACATTATGTAATACAATAGACTCATTGGTTTATATTGTACATATGTTTTATTCCTCTTTTTTCTAAAACAAGGTGCTTTCAAGCATGTGCCAATTGGATCCACTGACAAATTTTCTTAAATTCATGACACTCAGAATAAGTGTTTTCCAAAAAAAAGAAGGTGGGATTAAAACTCTTTTTTTTTTTCAGAATATCAAACAAAAATTTTCAAATCTTCAATTGAATCTTTTTCAGGACCACCATAGCCACCAGTCTGCCACCTCGGGTACTCCTCGGGATTTTACCTGACTGCTATAACACACTTCTGACTCTCAATCCTGTAAGTTAGTCTTAGTGGGTACTCCTCGGGATTTTACCTGACTGCTATAACACACTTCTGACTCTCAATCCCGTAAGTTAGTCTTAGTGGGTACTTCTCGGGATTTTACCTGACTGCTATGACACTCTTTACTCTCAATCCTGTAAGTTAGTCTTAGTGGGTACTTCTCGGGATTTTACCTGACTGCTATGACACTCTTTACTCTCAATCCTGTAAGTCAGTGACAGAAATTGTCAAACACTGAGAGGAAAATGGTAAATTCCTGCTGAGATATACACGTCATTTTACAATGAAAACTTGTATGTAGGTCACTGGGTAATTCTATTTTACAATGTAAGATTTATGTTGTCACCTATGCCATGACTGTTATTTTCTATTTTAAAACAGAGGGGAATCCAGCCAATGATGACCATGCTTACAGACCATGTCAGTCACATGAAAAAGGAGGACCTCAACAGTCACCTAGTGCAGCTACAGGGATTCTATCTCACCTGTCTGGATGTACAAGCACAGTATAAGGTAATTATCTCACCTTCTGGATGTACAGTAAAGGTAATTATATCACCTGTCTGGATGTGCAGGCTCAGTATCAGGTAATTATCTCACCTGTCTGGATGTACAGGTAAAGTACTAGGTGATTATCTCACCTGCCTGGATGTAAAGGTACAGTACCAACTAATCATCTTACCTGTCTGGATGTAAAGCACCAGATAATTATCTCACTTGTCTGGATATATATGTACAGAACCAGCTAACTATCTCACCTGTCTGGATGTTGAGGTTAGAACCAGGTAATTATCTCACCTATCTAGATGTACAGGTACAATACTAGGTAATTATCTCACCTTTCTGGATGTACAGACACAGTACCAAGTAATTATCTCACCTGTCTGGATGTACAGACACAATACCAGGTTATTATCTCACTTGTCAGGATGTACAGGTACAGTACCAGGTAATCATCTCACCTGTCTGGATGTACAATACCAGGTAATTATCTCACCTGTCTGGATGTACAATACCAGGTTATTATCTCACCTGTCTGGATGTATTTTTTCTGTAATATTTCTGTTTTATATCAGGGAGAAGTGGAGGATATAGAAGATTCTGTGATAGATGCCATTGTTGCCACGGTGATGAAACTGTCAGAGGCCACATTCAGGCCCATGTTCTACAAGGTGGGTCAAGATGTTATTGCTTTCACTTGATCAATATGTAGTACAATTTCTTTGAAATTCTAAATCAAGTTGATTTTATTCTGTAAATTCAGATGTTTGATTGGGCCACAAGAGAAGAAGAATTGAAGCACAGAATTCTTGTCTTCTATAAAATGGCTGACAGGTTTGTAAAATTTATGTCCATTAAGATTTGTAATTATCATTAGGTCCTTTATTTGATGGACTTGATACATATTCATCTGTAATGATTCAAGGGAAAGGAAGGGACACAGAGTTAATCATTTTGAAATTGACATTTCAGACTGGCTGGGAAGATGCAGAGTCTGTTTACTATATTTGCTGGACACATTATTGTTCATGCAGCTCAGATTTTAAAAGACAACAACAAAGAATTGACAGGTCAATATTTCAAAATATTTTATTAACAATTTATATTCCTATTTTCTTACACTTTCTTAGTACTTTGTGTTCATGAAAAGAAAAAAGGGTAAATTTTTTTTCTCTAGAGTTTTGTCCCTTTAATAAACTCATAGAATGTTCTGTTTTATATCTTTAGACTTTTCTTCATTTTTACATGTAAAGACTTCTTTAATTAAAGTAGGCTGGGTAAACAAAGGGCCCATGAGTTACTGGTTTATATCAGTAGAGTTCTTTTATATCTGTAAAGTTCTCTCCCATTTACAGGTGAGGACTACTTTGACTCCAGTAAGCTGGGTAAACACAAGGCCCATAAGTTACTGGTTTATATCAGTAGAGTTTTATATCTGTAAAGTTCTCTCCCATTTACAGGTGAGGACTACTTTGACTCCAGTAAGCTGGGTAAACACAGGGCCCATAAGTTACTGGTTTATATCAGTAGAGTTTTATATCTGTAAAGTTCTCTCCCATTTACAGGTGAGGACTACTTTGACTCCAGTAAGCTGGGTAAACACAAGGCCCATAAGTTACTGGTTTATATCAGTAGAGTTTTATATCTGTAGAGTTCTCTCCCATTTACAGGTGAGGACTACTTTGACTCCAGTAATCTGGATAAACACAAGGCCCATAAGTTACTGGTTTATATCTGTGACTGCCTGTACAAGTGTTTCCTTTATGACACCGAGGGCTTCGTCACCAAAGAGAGATTTGATACTTTACTACAACCTCTAGTTGACCAGGTAAGCAAAAATAAGTCTCTGTCAAAATTTTTTAAAAGTTAAAAAATCTTGTATGTTTACAAAAAATTCAGCCTTAGTATTCTTTAAGTTATAAATTGATTTTTTAGCTGGAAAATGTTGACAATGACGATGAAACTTTATCCAAAGAGAGAGTGAGTGAGCACCTTGTTCCGTGCCTCGTACAGTTTGGTGCCGCAACCCAGGACGATTCACTTTGGAAAACTCTGAACTACCAAATACTGCTTAAGACTCGACACTCATCATCAGCGGTAAATAACACAAATAGAAACTTTTTATTACATCAGACTACTCTTTTTAGGTCACCTGAGTAAACTCTGGTGACCTATTGCTATCTGTTTTCGTCCGTCGTCTTGCGTTAACATTTGTACATTTTCAGCTTCTTCTCTGCAACCACTGGACCAATTTCAACCAAATTTGGCACAAAGCATCTATGGGTGAAGGGGAACAAAAATTGTGAATTTCATGATCCCTGCCCCCCTGGGGCCTGAGGGGTGGGGCCAAAACCACTAAAATTAATGCAATCTTTAAAAATCTTCTCCTTTACTCCTGGACATCAAGCAGTCAAACTGTTTCCATGATTGTAATCAGCATTGAGTCTTCTACCAAAATTGTGAAATTCATGGCCCTGGGGTCAGGGGTTCTAGTGCTAGGGTGGGGCTAAATAAGTATATAGTGAAAATGCATTATTTCTATGAAAATCTTCTTCTCTGCTCCTGGGTATTCAATAGACTAACTAAGTGCATAGTTATGATGAGCAAGAATGCCTCTACCAAAATTTTGAATTTAATGGCCCCAGGGTCAGGGGTTCTGGTGTTGGGGGGGGGGGGGCTCTATTGATTATATAGTGAAAATACATGAATTCTTTGAAAATCTTCTTCTCTGCTCCTAGGTATTAAATAAACTAACTAAATGCATAGATATGATGAGAAAATTTTCTTCTCTGCTCCTGGGTATTAAGCAGATAAACTATCTACATAGTTATTAACAAGGGCCCTATTCTTCCTGAATTGTGAATGTCAAAGCCCCAGGGTCAGGGGTACCATAGAGGCAGGGGGGCTGTACTTATAGATTGAAAATGAATGAATTGTTTGAAATCTGCTCCTTGGTATTAATCAAATATTTTTGAAAAGCAAGGATGCCTTTTCAAAAATTTCGCAATGTGTGGATCTAGGCCTATGGGTCTGGATTCATGTGTGGTAGGGGCATTACTGATTATTGCTGAATACTACTGATTAGTTGAAATGCATTTTTGTTCCTCTGCCCTGCCTATGGGTATTAAGTTACCAAACTAAGCAACTGCTAAGTGTATAGTTATGAATGCCATAGGATCTGGCTTAAAACATGAATCAAATTCAATCATTGGAAAGTTGTTGCATAATGCTCAGGTGACCTATAAGGCCCATGGGCATCTTGTTATGTAAACCATAGGATGTGAACTCACAGCTGTTTGTTCTTTATGAAAAAAATTACTTTTAAAACACATAATATATACAGTGTATATATATAATGGTATTGGAAAAATTGCAGAAGCAGAAATTGGGATGCTATGTTTCAGGGAACAAATTGCAAAGTTTTAACAGTAGAACTGATCTCTTATACATTAGATTTTCGAGGTTATTTTGAACCAAATCCTTGAACTTGAAAGTGCAGTTAACAAACTATTTCTCTATAACAGGTTAGGTACGCAGCTCTGATTGCAGTGGACGAGTTCCATAAGAAACTCTCTGAGGACTACATGCCTCTTCTACCAGAAACAATCCCATTCCTGGCAGAACTCATGGAGGGTAAGTTTAAATTTAATGTCTAAACTTACAGGTTTATATCCCTATATCCCAAACAAACAGTCTGGAATGGGATAGTGTACATTTTCTTTTGTTCATCTATCTTTGGGTTTCTTTATCCCACTATATATCTGAAGAAGTAGATTCCTGTTTTGTATTTTATTGTTTGTTTATTTTTAGATGAGGAGGAAGAAGTGGAAAAGATGTGTCAGTCTGTCATCAGTCAAATGGAGAAGACTCTGGGAGAACCGCTACAGAAATACTTCTAATGATCAAATCATACACTCAAACATCAGTCAATGATGAAACACTGTGAAAACCGCTACAGAAATACTTCTGTGAAAACCGCTACAGAAATACTTCTGATCATCAAGTAGTGCATGTGAACATCATTCAAATAGAGAAAATACTGGAAGAACTACTACAAAAATACTTATGATTGTCAAAAGGTGGTCTTAAACTTTGTATCATTTATACAGTATGTAAAATAAAAATAAATCCCAAAACTCAACTGTTCATTGTATTACAAGTTCTGCATGTAAAGGCCAGTACACAAATAGACAATGGATGTCAATACTGCATTCATTTTCAGTACATTGATCATTGTTTGTTGTATTTTGGGGGGGGAGGGGGGGGGGAATTGCTATATATGCAGTAATTTAGGATTTATATTGATTAAAATGTACTGTAGATTGGGAGGAGGGGTCCAAACATAATAAAAAAATCTCCCCATAATTTTTTTGACTTGCTAAAAGATGAGGAGGACACTTCTCACAAAATTCAGCTTTATTTCATATTGTGTTATCTTACTTTAAAAAGATTGAGTCTTTGTTTCCAAGGACTCGTTTAGGTCAATCCTTTGGTTACTCTACTAAATAAAGATTTAAAACAA